CTTGGTTTATTAAAACTTAATAAATAAAATAAATGTTAGAAGGTTGCAAATATTAGTAGATAACATTTATTTTAAAAAGTAAACTGTCTATAAACTCTCAACAAATTATGTTTATATTATGTTGAGCGAATACCGCAATGTACCAAAATGATTCGTGTTCTGCATTTCTATTAGCTTTGACAAGCCTCAATTCAATAAACACCTCTTGCCTCAACCTTCCCTGATTGAAACTGATTACATTTTAAAAGAAGTTACTTATTCGGAGAGACGCTTTACTAAGTAATATTTCGACAAGTTACTTACTTAACTTACATCGAAATAGCACCATCCACTGATAAAAAAGCCGTCAATAATCGTGTTTCGGTTTCAGATTGTGGATTTCCGAATATCCAAAACCAAAATAGTCAGCACACACACGTTTAATTGAGATTTGGATTTAATAGTGGTAATTATATTCCTCTAAAACCGTTATAGAAGTGTTTCTCTAGCGATTCTAGAATTGTAAGTTCGAATGTATTTTAGGTCAATCAATACATCGCCCTAATATTATAATTCTAACGGGATTCAAGAGTTCCGTTTGGAATCCGTTCTAAAAAGATTTAGATGGTATTGCGCGAAATCGGAAACCATTTCGACGGATCATTTTTCAATAATCTTGGATTTCGCGCTTCCAGATGTTATATTGGCAGTAAGTTGGTATTTGAACGGAGAGTGATCGGCGGATAGAATTTATGTTTATTTATAGCGTGATTGATGACAATCTATTTTCTTAGTTTTTGCCGCTCCACATTTGCAAGGTCGATAAGGCTAAGAAAATGGTTGTTTCCCGTAAAAAACAATTTTAATTCATTTTTAACATTACAGGTTGAAAAAAATTGACGATGACGTTTAGGACACGGTAGCTCTATGGCGCTAGTATGGAATGGATTTTTAATCTCTATTATATCATGTGAAAGATAATACTTTTCAAAGATGTATTATATAAATGAAACTGAAAAAATTGCATACGTATTTTGTGCACGGACAAAATTATTTCTATACCTTGCGTCGGCGTTATCGATCTTGTATTTGCAATATCTTATGCTTCACACTTCACATACTTCATTGCCGTTATATTACGTTATAAAGCGAGGCTATCCTAAAAAGATACTGAGCTAATAAAAGACTACAGTTCGTTAAACAAGAATTAAAAAAGAAACAAGAAAAATACAATTATGAAACTAAGTGATCCTCACTTAGTTCGATATTAGGAAAATAGAACCAAGGATATATCGCGTTTCTTTTTATGTGGGGCATGGGGCGAAACCTCGTAAACGAACCCAAATATTATGGGGGAAGCATAACCCAAAAACTCCGCTGGGCTAGCCATTTGGAGAGAATGGGAGATGATCGGAGTGTCAAGAAAGCGTATATCGGAATTCCAACTGGCCGACAGGTCGGCGGCCAAGATATCGCTAGAAGGACGTCCTGGAGAAGGACATGCGCGAGCTCGGTGTAGCCGAATGACGAATAGCCGCACAGGATCAGCAAAAATGGCGCTCTTTAGTTTCGGAGGCCAAGACTCACTTTGGGTCGCTGCGCCAGCGGAGTAAGTAAGTATGGGGCGAAATATTAGTATACACGTATTACTTATTTATTCTAACATTTCCGTACTTAATACGAACATAGTTGATTATCTCTCGATGTAATAAAAACAAAATTCTGATTCTAACTCAATTCTTCTCACTACAGACATTGTCTATAGTTTACGCGAGTAGAACACATTGATTTTAAACACTTAACGGTTTAAAACATGACATATATTAGTTATCTTTTCATCATCGACTGGCCGATATTTTTTTGCGTTTAAACCGTTAAAAGTGTTTCATTTAAATCAATACAGGCAATTTAGGAAGGACGGCAATATTAAAATGTACACTTATATTTAGACGTCTAGATTTAAACACGTATAAGTATTTAATTTATTGTAAAAAGTCTTGATTAAACTACACAATGAATGCATTGTTACATTTCAAAGCCTCAATATTCATACGTGAATTCAATAAAGCATAGGAATGTGTTGTCATAACTCATAGGTATTTTGTCCTTCCACATTTCCATCGACAAAGGGTTAAACAAAAGGTGGGCATTGAAAACAGCCGCAGGTTTTATATTCGTGTACGAGATCGGAATAAATAATATAGGTAACGAACAATTGTGGTGTTTTTTTGTTAAGTAAAAAGGACTAACAAATAACTAAATCTATGTGTTCTTTTTTCAAATGACATCCCATGACAGGCTATGCCTGAATAAAACACGATTAACGGTTTCAAACACGAAACATGTCGTCTATATAGTACCCCTCGTGGGGTATGGGGCGAACACATTTCTGTATCCGTTTCACTGTTCCGTTCTTTAACAGGCAAGTAGTTGATCAGACTTCTATATCCTGCCCGACCGAAACAATTTTGTTTTCTTGGAATTCGAACCTAGGGCCTCCCGCGCTTACGCAATGCTAGGCAATACGTTTAACCATTTGGCTACAGAGGCGGTCTAATATATCAAAAACCCATCTCGAAATATATAATTCGCTTTTTAATATTAAGTGTTCGAAACGCCGTACAAACAATCGAATAACAATTTTCACAGTGCAACATATTTTTATTGTGTTTTTAATAAATTGATTGATGCTCCAGTTGTGGTAACAGTTATACCGCGTGGTATTTATTTAAAGCTTTCTATCGCATAATTTCGGACTGGTTTTTATTAAAACAAACTAAATCGACAAACGCTGTTTCGCCATAAAAAATATTTCTAGATTAAATTAAAAGTAAAATAATAAATACCTGGTGATATTTGATGTATAAACGGGCATCAAAAATAATTAACTTAATAATTCAATTAATAACTATTTTAATTACTAGTACTAGTACACCCCCACTCCCGCTAACACCACCACCCCCACTAACGCTCCTATTCCCACTCCTATTACCAAAAAGCCAAAGAAGAAAGTTTCATTGTTCTAGCTTCAAGAGCTAGAACAATGAAACGAAAAAAAGTCTAAACCATCTGTCTACCAAATTTCATTAAAATCCGTTCAGTAGTTTTGGCGTGAAAGAGTAACAGACAGACAGTCACTTTCGCATTTATAATATTAGTAAGGATTACATATGGAAATCTGGATATTAAATGAGTGGTAGAAACATCGAAATTCCGTTTGTCTACAGATGAAGCCGAAGAAGGTTTTCTAGATATCCATCGCCAGAATAGGACGACGGCGCATGTAGTTATATGGCTGGAGTATTTACCTTCCATCAAGAGAACGCCATAGTTATCTATCCTCCTTTATTTAAATAAAATACGGTTTAAAACGCGATATATTTTATTTAAACTTGTTTGAGAATTATTTTTAACTACGTTCCGGATGCTTTGCAGCAGCCGTGGTCACGGGGTGGAAACATCGTAGTTACAAAATATTTCTCAAACAAGTTTAACTAAAACATTTCGCGTTTTAAACCGTTTAAGTGTTTTATGTATACTACTTGCATAAACTACAGACAGTATTTTATCCTACGTTATCATTAAAATTACTTCTAACTTAGTCAAGAATTAGTGTTCATTTTTTTCTGCGAAAAATAATCTTTATAGCCACCACTCAAATTAAATCGATTCCATTATCAAAAAATATCACTCAAGAGATCTCGACCCTTTCAACTCGTACTCTATTTTTTCATGGACTCTTCAAGAATTTGGTTGAATAACATTTTGAATGCAAAGTTTATGATGAGGGTCTCAACGCAATACCGACACGGGGTTAGAATGGGGACAATTCTGACCCCTTTTGTTTATTGAATAATTTTCAAGCAATAATTTACAGACCGTCCGATCCTATTGTTTTGCTTATAAATAGTTACGCAATGAATAATTTTCCGATGTCTATCATGGGCTGACATAAAAAACTTCGTACTTAAGTTTTACACGATCGCCACTGTAGTGTAAACCCGTTTCCAATTTATAAGAAGGACAACGAGTTTGGCTTTAGATATTTGGATATCCTCTGAAACCGAAACGCGATTAAGCTTCACGGCTTTTTCATCTGTGGACGGTGGTTCGTGTCCTAGAAATTTGAAATACTGTTTACAATGAAGCATGGTGCGTCCTTATTTCCGTCTTCGCTTCACTGAATCGATGTCATTTACAGGCAAGCAGTTGATTGGACTTCCGTACCATGCGCGAAACAATTTATTATTTCCTCAGGATAAAAACCCAAGACTCGAACCCAAGGACATTTAGAGACTCGTAAACGTAATGTTAGACGACACGTTTATCCAATTTGCTTGGCTTGTAGACTTTAGCTTAACATAAATTATAGTCATTCCATTGACGTTTTCTCTTGTAATAAAGGTAGGTAGTCTAGTGGTCCCCTTATGTCTCTTGCTAAATCCCATCTCCACAGCTTGCCGAATGACAATATTTAAGCCATATGAAGTGTTTGGACAAAAATTAAATTACTATACAACGGTTCGTTTACTTTAACAGATAGACATATACAGTCGCATACATTTTTGTAGATAAATTAAAGCGGAATCATTCTTTGATACATATTTTTTGGATATCTTGAAGCGTTTTCGCAGTACTTGAAGCTGATATAAGTAATATGATATATATAATTTTCCACGTTTTTTCCACATTGAAATTAACGCGTTCTACTCGTTGGCGGTGGACGTGTGCGCAGTTTATTTTAAAATATTAATTAAAAGTGCTATTCAACTTTAAGCAATAACACAAGTGCATCAAGAATCAAAATTGCTTAGCGGCTTAATTGGCAGTTCCGACTAGTGTCGATTGTGTCGTATTTCTTATCTGACTACAGATCGCACGCGCAGTGACGTAATTTGTGTAAACATTCGACAGTGAAATTGGACTGCGCCCGCAAGTAAACAAATTATACTAACGAATAAAAGCTACGTGTGTCTTGTTTTTTTTTTTTTACTCAGGGCTCGTACCTAACAAAACCAATTATGAGCGTTCAACGCTCTCCTCCTCGAAAACCATCTGAAAGTGTTTCCGGTAGTTCTTCTAACCCAGATTTGTCAAAATGGGGGTTAAGTACTGGCGACCAGAAAATCACCCTTAGGAAAAGGAAACAGCCGCTTGAACCAGAATGTACCTGCTCAACCGAAATGAAAGAAATTCGGTCAGAAATGAACCGATTTGGTGACATACTTGAAAAGTACGTTGAATCAAATAGTCAAATTATGACTAAATTGCAGGAAAATATAACGGAAATAAAAACACAAATAACGGAATTAAAATCTAATAACAAACATGCGATTAGTCTAATTAATAATCAATCTATTCAAATAAATGAAATAAAATCAGTAACATCTATAATGGACACGGAACAAAAAGAACTAAAATCGAATATAATTGAATTGGAAAAACAATGTAAGCTCAGTGAAACAAAACTTAATAAACTAGAAAATAAAATAAAAACTGTGGGAACAGAAAACGAAAAAAATCCAAACACTTTACAACTTATCCAGAATGAACATATAATTCAAGAGATGCAAGAAAGAAGCAGAAGAGAAAGAAACTTTATTATTAAAGGCATTCCAGAATTTGACAACATATCAGAGGAAGAGAGAATCATTAAGTTGAAGTCAAAGATTTTAGATATAACTAGCCAGATGTGCAGAGACCTTCCTGAGCCAGTCTCAGTATACCGTCTGGGTAAATATTCGCCTGGGAAAAATAGAAGTATAAAAGTATGTTATGAAACATCTACTCCTGTAAAGGTAATTCTACGTAACAAAGATAAATTACCTACCACTATTAAAATATTTTCAGATCAAACTCAGGCCCAACAAAAGTATTTTAAGAACATTAAGGAAGAATTGCTTATTCGTCAAAATAATGGTGAAAGTGACCTAACGATAAAATATATAAGAGGAACACCAGCAATAGTTAAGTCTCAGTCAAAAAACTAGATACTTTTAATATCGTTCGTCCAAGTCCTAGCTTACATAGTAATACATACCAAATACTTACCGATTACAGAGATATAAAAGTATTCAAATCTCGTCTCAGCTTCTTATATTTAAATGCCAGAAGTATTAGAAAGGAAGGAAAACTGGACGAGTTGAAATGTATTGTACAATCTTTTCCCCAAAAGGTACATGTTATTCTATTAACAGAAACATGGATACGCTCTGAGAATCAAGCCCAACAACTACAAATTACCAATTATACACATTATTATAACTACAGAACAGACATCCGTGGAGGGGGTGTTTCAGCTTATATACATAATGATCTAAAACATAACTTATCAGAATCTAAATATATAGGCGGAAATAACTACTTATGGATACAATTAGAAAGATATGCACTTGAAATTGGCGTTATATATAAACCTGGTGATACTAATTTTAAAGAATTTCTAAATACATACGAGGAACAACTGCAACAAAGAAAAAGAAGTATAATATTTGGTGACTTTAACATAGATATACTTACAAAGGATAAAACGAATAAAGAATATAAACAATTACTAAAGGAATCAGGATATTGCCTTATAAATAAAATAACTAAGAATTACCATACACGTGAATGTTCTACTAAAAAATCTATTCTAGACCACGTCGTGACAAACTTAAAGGACGATCATTTCCACATGGTATTATTTGACTCATCAATGTCAGATCATAGGCAGGTATTCCTCGAACTTAAGAAGACAAACCCTCCACCACTAAAAAAACTACCATATGAAGCACTTGATTATGACAAATTGCGTGATATGCTGATAACCTATGATGAGAGGTTAATTGAAGACTATATAGAGATAGAAGCAATATTAATATCTACAATTAAAGAATGTAAAATTAGTAAAATGAAAGTTCTTAATCCCCCCACTAAGGAGTGGATAAATAAAAATATCATCCATGAAATCTATCAGAGAAATAAAATTTGGCAAGAATGTAAACAGAAACCTACTGATATTAATAAAGTTGAAGAATATAAAGAAAAGAGAAGATTTGTTAGACATCTTATTAAAGATACTAAAATTTTATATTACCACAAACAATTTTCAGAATGTATTAATAAACCAAAACAAATGTGGAGATTGCTAAACGATCTAGCAGGTAATAAAAATAAGAAACACTTTGCTCCATCCAAAATATTAATTGATTCTAGAACTATAACTGATCCTAGTATAATTTGTACAATTTTTAACAATTACTTCACTTCCATAGGTCCCCAGCTAGCACAAAAAATACCAAAAACTTTTCATGACAACCCTAACTGTGCCCTACCCATGGACATCAAGTCTAATATCAATCCCTTGTGTGTTTTTGACCCTTGCAGCGCCGATGAAGTTCTTAAAATTATAGCTAAATTAGATTCCAAATGTAGCACTGGGTTGGATGGAATCACCACTAAGGCTATAAAATGTGTTAAAAACAATCTTGCCTCACATTTAAGTGCATGTTTTAATAAATTATTAGCGCTAGGGATGTTTCCTGATACGCTTAAACTAGCCAAGGTTACGCCGGTTCATAAATCAGGCTTGAAAACAGATTTAGGAAACTACAGACCCATATCAGTTTTACCCGTAATATCAAAAATTTTTGAAAAAGTTATTTACAATAGATTGGATAGTTACCTGAGCAGCATACAATATATTTCAGATAGACAATATGGCTTTCGATCCAGAAGCAGCACACAGACTGCTACCATTGATCTTACCACAAGAATAAAACAAAATTTGGATAGCAAAAATATTGTGTTAGGAATATTTATTGATCTCCAAAAAGCGTTCGATACAATTAGTCACAATTTATTGATCAAGAAGTTAGAAAAAATCAACATAAAGGGAATGGCACTAAAACTTCTAAAATCATATTTAACTAATAGACAGCAGATAACAAAAATAGACAAACATCAAAGTAATCCCTCGCCAATAACATGTGGAATTCCACAAGGATCAATTCTAGGACCTTTGCTGTTCTCAGTCTATATCAACAATATCCAGGAACAAAATCTACACGGCCACCTTACCCTTTATGCGGATGATACTTGTCTTTTTTATTTTGGATCATCTATCATTAACATAGTTAAACAAGCGCAATCTGATCTTAATAAACTAACGAATTGGTTCCAATATAATTTATTAACAGTTAATATACGCAAAACAAGTTACATAATTTTTAAACCTAAAAATAAAAAAATTCCATCACACCCCCCTCTGAAAATTAATAATCAAAATTTAGAACAAAAGCAAGTTGAAAAATATCTAGGATTACATCTAGACAGTAAGCTATCTTGGACTAGTCATATCGAGAACATTAAAAGTAAAGTTTCCTCAATCTTAAGTTCCATACGCAATATTGCTTCCTGTATTCCTCAGAAGTTGCGATATACTATATACAATAGCCTAATAAAGCCTCATTTTCTATACCTAATTGAACTGTGGGGAACTGCATCCAAATCAAAGTTATCAGAACTACAAAGACTGCAAAACAAGATTATAAAAATTATTTTTAAATTACCTTATAGCACATCAACTAAACAATTATATATAAAAACTAAATTACTTAATTTAAATCAAATGTATATTTATAATATATGTACATTTATCTACAAAACATTATCTAAAAAACACAAAAGTGAAATAACTTTACATAAGAATAAACAAAATAATTATAAACGAAGTCTTCGCCGCGCCAGTTATCTTATCTTGCCAAAAATAAGAACAAATTATGGACACAAAATGTTAACATTCCATGGAGCACAGTTGTTTAACAATCTCCCATCGCACCTCAAACGTTTGCCGCCAGTGGCGTTCAAGAAACAACTTTTCATCCATGTGTTTACAAACACAGCGTAATGCGTAATCCTTAGTCACAATAATTTCTTGAGCGTTGCACGCGGGTAGAATTGTAAAATTAATGTTGATTTGTATAGTATTCTCAAGTAAGTGATCTTGTATCTTTTTTTGAGAAATAAATGTCTTTAAACCTTAAACCTTAAACCTTTTTTTAAGTCTATTTCAACGCCCCTATTGACCGCAGCGTGATGTTATATAGCCTTTCTCGAATAAAAATATTTTTTTTTTAACCGAACGAGTAGCTCTTGAGATAAGCGCGTTCTAACAAACCAACAAACTCTTCAGCTTTATAATATTAGTATAGATGTTGATGGGCAAACTGTCAGTTTTTTTAATATTAAAAATGCTAGCATTGCTATTTCCGTTTGATGCTATCTCTGTTGAACAAAGACTTTCTTTTTGTACGATTTTCGTTCGTCCTAATTAAATATACGCTGAGAATTGTTCAGCTTTACATTCAGAAACTAGAATCGGGTTTGCTTTAGAGATCTCAACAAAGGTATGCTTTGAACAAAGTCTGCGTTTGTTTTTCCACTCTACATATAGTACAAAGACAAACCTTAAAATATATTTTGTTAACTTCTAATGTTTTAAGGATTTGTTGAAACGAGACCTCGTTGTTACGAGATTTTGCTCATATTTGGTGCTGCAATAGCTAAAGAGAAATCCTTTTTACAAAATTATATTTATTATACTTTCTCGTTGTTTTAGTGGTTTATGCACTCAATTTAAAGCAGGTCCCAGGTTCGATTTACGAGCTGAGCAAAATGTTAGTATGGTATTTAATATTTTTATAAGACCACCACCACCATGGCGATTGATATAATGGGACGTTTTCTGTAGTAACTTTCAGACAAACTGAATTTTTGATATGACATCTTCGGTGTATTTTTACATTTTTGAACGCGTGGGAGACGAAACATATTTGAACAAATATTTATGTCTATAACAATATTTTTCTTCTACTATAGAAAACCAGAAAGAGATTTTAGGCTCTAGTATGTAGGTGACCATTCCTTAAATATTTGTATCTAAGAAACGCGATATATTAGTTAAACTTATTTGAATAGGATTTTTAACTTCGGCCCGACGTTTCGGGTGCTTTGCAGCCGCCGTAGTCACGGGGAGACTACGTCAGCGCCAAATGTCGAGCCGAAGTTAAAAATCACATTCAAATAAGTTTAACTAATATATCGCGTTTTAAACTGTGAAAGTGTTTTATTTAAATAGGTGGAATACGTTCTTTTTCTACAAAACAATATTGCATAACTGCTTATAAATCGATTAAATAATATATTTTTACTTTAAGTTCAAAATATATTATTTATCGCGAATAGCAATGCGTATAGTTTGGTTCAATTGACATCCATAATTTTAACATTTTACTGTATAATTCAAAACCATTATTTACCTATACATAAATACATTTATGACACTTCTCGTCCTGAAAACGTCACCTCTTTTGCCTCTTATTATTTTGTAACTCGAAACAATAATAAAAGGTTTTCACTGTCAGCTAGTTCCAGACATATCTTTACTCAAGCCCTCTGAGATTCGAGCCTTATTACGATACATAAATAAAACATGCAAGAGCCTTTCCCGAAGATAATGCTTCTTTCGTGTTTGCTATTTACTCTAAGTTGATAAACATATCACACGAACACCTTTTATTTCTTTAAACAGCTATTGCGTATACGCATCGTATATATCCAATTAGAATTAATTGTTATTTATACAAATATGAGTGTCATTGGTCTAATACTGTTTAATAATACAAATGTAATACAAAAAGCTGTCAAGTATGTACAGTCTTTTAAATAAAACACTTTAACGGTTTAAAACGCGATATATTAGTTAAACTTATTTGAAAATGATGTTTAACTTCGGCCCGACGTTTCGGATGCTTTGCAGCAGCCGTGGTCTCCCCGTGACCGAAGTCATCGAAGATATCGCGTTTTAAACCGTTAAAGTGTTTTATTTAAATGTGTACTACTCGCGTAAACTATAGAGAGTATTTATGTACAGTCTGTATTTTACGAGACTACACATTTAAATATATAAGTTAAATTTATTTGAATTTTTAACTACGGCCCGATGCTTTGCACCAGCCGTGGTCACGAGTAGATTAGCTCTAGCGCCATCTGTTCCAAATACCAACTTCGATCAAACAGCGCTTGTGTACTAGCTTTTTACGTTGACGTCAGACCCTCCATCTTTAGTCTCCCCGTGACCACGGCTGCTGCAAAGCATCTGAAACGTCGGGTCATAGTTAAAATAATGTTCAAATAAGTTTAACTAATATATATCGCGTTCTGAACCGTTAAAGTGTTTTATTTAAAAGCTGTCAAGTATTTATTTAAAGTAAATAAATAAAAATATAGAAGAAATAAAATAGTAAGATTACTATTATGGCTTAATTTTTTTTTATTTAAACCCCATGCATACATGTCCTTTGTCATTAAAAGTATTCCATTTGGCAATATTTCGTTTAATTAGAGACAGTAATTAATCAACGTGATTTACAAACACGTAAATATGAAAACAAATTACATTACGAAACACAGGGCCCATACGTTATGAACAAAAACATTATCTTTAGCTTTGAAGATAACAGAACGAGACAAACATAGCTCTCACAAAAACCACAAAATGTATACTTCTCTCAATGTTATCTTGCGTACACGTTCAATTAAATTAAACGTGTATGTTAAATAATACAATTGTTTTGTTCTTATATACATTATGAGCTACATTTATAATTATCGCTCTACTTAAGTTGAAAAGAGAAATTGACCGCTTCACAGAGAAATAAGCTAGAGTATTAAAATAATTGTCCGCTTTAGCAACTTACGCTATGTAATTTGTATTTATTTATTTTGGTTGTATTACTGTCGATTCTTTGTACTGTGTGCTTAATTAACTGTCTTAGATAATTTTAAGTGTATTAATAAATAATAAATATTCGCTTCTCGTGTGTACAGCAAATCGGGTTGTATAATATAATTAAAATTCTATTTACTTTTAACCTGTGTGTCTCTGTGTGTTATTAAAAGCTTTGTATGTTTGAAAACATTAATATTTTTAACATGTTATTGCACATGAAGGCACTATATAATTTTGACTCGGTAGCTCAATTGGTAGAGCAACAGCACGGAAAGCTGACGATGCCGGTTCAAGTCCTGCCCGAGTCGAAAATTTTTTCAATTTATTTTCGATCTTTAAATTATATAGCTTTGTATGTATCAAATTATGCTAATATTGCCTATTATGTTGTTTTTATTGATATTTCCGTTGCCTCTCAATGGTAGGAATGTCGATATTGCGTCCCGGTCACGAATCACTGTCCATAGATAAAAAGGCGTGAAGTTTAATAGCGTTTTAGTCAGTCTGTTACTGAACTTCCAATAACAAATAAGTTGACACCGCATTTTGTTAAAGTGATGCATGGTTCTGGTATTTCGCCTTCCGCGAACCCCATGCTTATATCATAGAATAAAGACTCCTTCCTCTGCAAGCTTGTCTTCTGTTATGGTTGCTTATTTTTAGAGTTCGTTTAAGATTTTTTTTGCACATGATATAGAAATTAAAAATTGAAAATAATTGCGCAAGAGGTGCATGTATTAATAGGTTGAAAAGATTCGTTGATGACGTGTAGGACTCGGTAGCTCGCGGTTAGAGCTGGCAACAGCTGGCAACTCTGACTCTCCGTTGTGGTCGTGCTTTTTAATAAAGTTTTCATTGATCTTCACAATATTACGCGTTTCACGATAGACTAACCGAAAATATCTCTATCCGAATAGATAAATTTGCATAATAGGAAAGGTTTGTGCACAAATATCTTCGCATAAAAGAGTATTTGTACAATCGCTGGAAAATTGAATTCTTTTTAGCCGTAGGCTCAATTGATCTAAAGGTATTTTTGGATATAACACTATCTGAAATTCCCTGGATACCGGCAAGTATCTATTTTTATGCAGGTTAGTTGCCTTTACGGTATAAGATATCGGATTTAAATCAATTCAAATCTAAGTGAAGCAAAATTCCGTTAGCCTTTGAATAGATAGGTGAGATAAGTACTCCTTTCGTGTTTAAAATCAAATTTTGCATTAACTTGTTGTTTAAAAGATGTACATTCTTTGAAAAACTAATCCAATGGGCTATTTTACAATGCGAAAAATATAGCTTCAATTACTCTAATCAGTATTAATTATAAATATAGAAATACTAAAACACTTACATAATATGTTAAAAATGACAGTTGATATAAATAAAAATCGGCAAATATTTTTTTACTTTCATAATCATTCGTCACGTGACACAAAACGCTCCTGATTTGATTGAATTTAAGTCGTTACGTTACTAGCCGTATTGTAGGGTAATTTGGCAAAATTAGCGCTAAGGCGTGCAATTTAAATGCTGGATTTTTAATTTGATCTTCACCAAATATATCTCAGAATTCGAATATGGGCCAAAATACTTTTAAGTGCCTAATCCGAGAACACAAATCAGATTTTTTTTTCAAAATTGAAATACTTAATTTCCTTTTTTTAAATGCTGAAATAGATATGTTATAGTTCTATTTATAACACACCTACCTCAGCAGCGATGGTTTAAATGATTTAATAATATTTATAGCATATAATACATCAAGTTGTCGAGAAATTAAACAACTGCGTAACTATTTTACAGATGAGGTTATTATTTAATAAATCGGACATTGAGACTTAATAATACGTCAGTTTTAAACTGTAGTGATTATATAAATCACCTATAAAGAAAAATCACAGAAATAATCAGTTTCATCGAATATTCATGTTTAATTAGATACACTGCGTTACCTATGTTAAATATTAAAACTTAAACTTTTCCATAAATTACAAAAATCAACTTAAAATTAATTCCAATTGACAACATAGTATTGTTCTTGTCATAAATAGTACGTACGTATAAATTTAAGACATTTTTGACAATAAGAGTCCTTTGTATAATTAAAGATACAATAAAAACAAGAGGGACACAAAAGTAACGCAGTATTAATCTTCGTAACACAGTAGTATTTTTTATATACTATACTTTGTAGTTTTAATAGAGATCTTTATAACAAAACAATTTTAACTGTTCATGACTCGACATAAAATTAAGTACCTCAAGTAACATAAAACGTTTGCCTACGTCAATATTTGTTATGGATTAATATACCTTAATGAGAAAATCAACTGTATAAACTAATGAGGCACTATATCTTCAGTCTTTCTTCAGAAATTTTTTGGCTTGTCATAATTGAAGTATAATCTTTTACCTTTCACGACAAGTTTGGGGTTAGGGACAATTTCTACAATGTTTTCGTATGGTTCGTGAGATATATCGGTATCTACTGCTTTGAATCTTTTGCCAGTGTCGTCAATTGTCTTGTAAAACATAATTTTAACGTCCCCTTCTTCATCAACTTTACTTTTAACAACAGTATATTATTTTTCCTTAACATAAGTAACTTTTACTAAAACATGGACACCTTCATATATCTTCGTAGGATGAACATTTTCCTTTTCAATTTGCTGTATTTCACGTGCGTGTTCGTGTACGTTAGATGTTGACACTTAGCACAAGCTTCATAAGGGCTTCTCGTCAGAGCTAGAAGACGAATAATAAACTTCTAATAAATCTTGTAATACGTACCTTAAAGGTACGGCAACAATATTAGTAATGTCATCAAGGACTATATCATTATCCGATTCATCAAATGGAACGTCTTCTTTACGTGTGTCAATGATGGGATATGTTTGTATGCAGGCTTATATGTTTTTAGATTCATGCACTAACAAAAGC